CCAATCCTCCACTTGAGGCTCCCTGTTGGTCCGGCTCATCCCCCACAGTGCCAGGTTCGCCGGTAAGTCCCCTCTCCGTTTTAGACCATTTCCCTTTCTCCTCTCTCCAGTCATACCTTAGAACCCTCCAGAATGAAAGTTGGCGCCGAACTCTCGCAATAAATAGTAAAAAAAATCACGAGACCGGAAGCAGGAAACCGTTTGGAGAAATAAAGATCGGCACCATCTCTCCGAACGTTCGTAATGATAATGTGACTGAGAAGCTGAGAAGCTTCAGCTGCAACTTTAGCATAGAGGCTACCTTCAATGCTGGCTGAACAGAAAAGAACCACTGTCGATATTGTTGAGAATATAAAGTAGCATAGATCTACCAGGCGTAATTAGTAATTACTACCCACCAATAAGACCGACACAATATTCTGTTTCATTTGCATAACAATGACAGCATCAGCAGCAGCGGGCTCCTGGAAGATGGAGATTGGAGAGTTGTGTAACGAAACACTGTTGCCATTCAATGCTACTTTTAGAAAAAGGTAAAGCGGCTATTTTTATATAAGTGTTGCATTTTAAAATGTTTTCAGTATATCATTATTTGTGCCGAATATTAAACAGTGCTGTTTGGGTGTGCGCACAGGATCCAGACAAATTAAGTGATTTACAGTATATCCCAGCCTACAAAATAATTGCTCAGTTTGAGATAATAACGAACTAATACGTACATTATTGACAATTAACCCAGTGTTAATCCCCTTCATACCCTATGAAGACCTAGGTTTAGCATCAGTACCGGTAGAAGGAGAGTGTAGACACCATTATGACATAAAAGCAATCCATTTTGAAAGAATGAAATCGTTCTTTTATTAACAAACTCAATTAATGCTCAACTCACTTTGTCTCTCCTCCACCCCTCCCCCACCACCCGGGAAAAACAAGCAATCATAACTCATTATTCTCTCTGTTCATTTGTAGCCAAAATAATCTAAGTGCATTTATGTTCCCCATAATCGGTCAGCAGGTGCGGTATTGTGTATGCGTGTATGTTATATGATTAAACAACCACAGCTAACAAAAAGAAAACTCAAAATTAAAATTGAACTGAGCTTCAAACTCTATGAACACCTAGATCGCCTTTCAAGATACAAAAGGAATCATCTTGGGTTTACCTGTCTGTCTATCTGTCTGTCTGTCTGTCTGTCTGTCTGTCTGTCTGTCTGTCTA